GGAAAATTACCGGCGGTTCGTTTAAACGTCGATTCCCCTGTCCAAGGAGTCGAGAAAACCACCGAGAGCCGCGAGATAGGTTTTCCTCGAGACGTCCTTCACCCGTAAATGTCGAAGCGTGACAAATCTTAAGACTGGCTGACACTATTTTCCACCGGTCGTAGCTTTAGGCACCGATCGAGTCACTCTAGACAGTCCGACAATTGTGCCCATAATTATGAAAGTGGTCTAAGTCATATATTTTTTTCTTTCGAAATTACATTGAATTAATTTAGTTTGAAATAACGTGGCGTGAAATAACTGATAAACTCATTTTTCTTTCAATTTTGACTTAGACCACTTTCATAATTATGGGCACAATTGACTTTATCGAGGAATCTACGAATCGGTAGCTTGACAATTACGCGACCCCCGATGCTTTGTAAGCCGAGTAATTAGACTGCCAAGGTACCATTACCCTGGAATTTCTCTTCTTACGATTTATACGGCTACACTTTTGTGATTACGCTTTTACTCGGTAATTAGAGTTGACGTGTGAGCACTGAAGGTATTTTAAGGGAACGGTCGTTTACCCTGTTAAAATGTTCATGTAATTATTACACTTTTAGTACACCTCCGGTAGATAAGGTCGCGGTAAGATTATAAACTCGATGTCTCAAAGTGAATTAGTATACGTTTATCACGTGTCTCTAAATGAACTAATAATTTAAATAAATAGGAAAATTAATATACTTATGAAATGTACACATGAAATGGGATTAAGTTGGCGTGCCATGTCTGAATAAAGTTGACAAAAAATGTTATTCAATTATAATATCTTTTAACAGGGTACAGCTCTGCTCCTGAGCTGGGATGTTTAGTAATTCGTTCGCAATACCATAATTACTGGTTTACGGTACGATCCCTTTTTAGGGTACAAATTGGTGTCGAATGTTTGATAGTGTCACAACGTTGGGTTCTTCAAGGCATTCCTGTACAACCTATATACAGCGTTTTCTAATTCACCGCTAAATGGCGGAAAGCTTAGACCGATGAACGGCTCGTTGGGACCCTGTGAGTTGGTAAAAACGAACCACAAAAAGAAAATTCGCCAATGGAAGATTCCAACCCAAGGCCAGATGTTCAGTTCTGCAGCATCTCGAGGCCGTAATATTAGGGGGAAGATCAGGTTTGAGCTCTCAATCGACGCGTTAATTTCCCCGGTAATGGATCCGGCTCTAGAAGAATATTAACAACGAGTGTTACTGAACTTCAAGGTCCAGGATTACTTGCAAAATATTTTGCAAAATTCCCCTGCAAATTGTGAAAAATTCGATTAAGAGCTTCGAAATTTTTACGATTCTCCGTATTAAGTGCTCAAGTTAATGTTGAAACAGACTGAATTGATATTTTATTATACTTTGAACTTGCGTAACCTAGGTAAGCCCTATTTTGATCCTATTTCACTCTTTAAGTCCTATTTCACCCTTTAAGTCAGGTTTGAGCTCTCAATCGACGTGTTAATTTGCCCGGTAATGGATCCGGCTCTAGAAAAATGTTAACAACGAGTGTTACTGAACTTCAAGGTCCAGGATTACTTGCAAAATATTTTTAAAAATTCCCCTACCAATTGTGAAAAATTCCCAGGAAGGGCTTTCGAAATTTTTACGATTCTCCGTATTGAGTGATCAAGTTAATGTTGAAACAGTCTGAATTGAAATTTTACTCTACTTTGAACTTGCGTAACCTAAGTAAGCCCTATTTTACCCTTCAAGTCAGGTTTGATCTCTCAATCGACGCGTTAATTTCCCCGGTAATGGATCCAGCTCTAGAAGAATATTAACAACTTGTGAAAAATTCCCAGGAAGGGCTTTCGAAATTTGTACGATTCCCCGTATTAAGTGATCAAGTTAATGTTAAAACAAACTGAATTTAAATGTTACTCTACTTTGAACTTGCGTAACCTAGGTAAGCCCTCTTTTGATTCAATTTCACTCTTTAAGTCCGACTTTCGTGCTTGTACGTTCTACTTAATACAAATTGAGTTCTACTTGTGGTTTAAAAGTAGGTGAAATAACAATATGTACTACGCTTAAGATTTAAAATCGGATCTCGATTACATAGAAGGTACCCTTCTTTATAATATCTCAAAAACCATTTGTCTTACAATTGAAGGTCCTAAATTGGATCAAAGTCGAGACTCTAGGACGTTAAGGAATAATACAGAACAACACCCGTTTTCTGGGTTTACATCCTAACAGTCCGATAACTTACTAGTTGCAAGTCCTAATAGAAAGATATAGTATTTTTAACAGCTCGTACATTTCTTCCCACTCGCACATCTTGATCAAACACCGTAATTATGTACCCGTAGGCGTAGTAAAACAATTACGGTTACATTTCCCCCGCGCAATTGAACGTTGGATAATTCATCGACGATTAATGTCGCCGTTTCTGCAATTAACGATTATGACGTTACACCGAACGATTTAAATTCCGTCCTTGCCGCGTGTCTTGCGCACATTCTAAGATATATGACAATCTAGCACAAAACCAGTGTATACATTTTCGGGGAGAGTTTCAAAATCATTTCTTAGCAATTTACGAAGTTTACGTTCAGCCGTGATTAATATAATTCGTTAAAAGGAAAGTCCAACCGAGTAAAACCAAACGACAATTCCCAGCCAATGGTGATCGAGGAATGCTCGAACAGTCACGATGGTGATTTGGTAACTCGGTCGGAATTTCACTCTCATTTTGAAACGCCCTCTAAGCAGTCCCCACGGTTTCGAATCTGGAAACGGCGGACACGTAAGTCACGGGAAACGTTTCAAAATACAGTGAAAGTCCGGACTACTTACAAAGTCGTAATTACACAGGTGATTAAGAATCGCTGGATTTCCATTTACACGCGCAACCTCTGCGACGAAAAAGGCATTAGAAAATCCCAATTAAGTAATCATAAACTCTCAGCGACGATAAAAGCTTCCCTCCACCGAGGGCGCCTATTTTAAAGATCAGAAATCCCCAAGCGGAAAAAAAAATGGAGCCAGAACATTGGATATTCTTAATTTTGGCATTTACCACCTGGCAAGCTTTGGAGACACTTCCACCCTACGTGAACTAAACCCTTTGAAAATTTTGCAAACCTGTAAAAACATCTCGTACTAATTCGTCAAACCCCACATATGGGGTCCCCAATTTCACAACCTCGTTACCTTTCTCCACACCGTCTACTCCACAATTACCATGTCAAAGAGATTAATTCTGATCAAGCTTTTGGAGCGTATGTGGTCACGTGTGACCCTCGTTAACCTCCCGGTTACGAGAATCTACGGTCGCACGTGGTCGATGCAACAGTTTGCTCCTGTTTGTCATTTCATCGTCACGCGCGCCCTCTGCAGTGATACAGAACGTCGTCAAGCAATATCGCTGGAGACATGGAACCACGCACGCGGAAGAAAAAAATACTTTCATTGAACATAATCGATTTAACTGCATTTGCATCAACTAAAAATAAAAAAAGAAACATTTCGATCGAGAGGGCCAAATTTTAGTACACCCGATCAAACTCGCATGCCCCAAGAGCGTTTTGTTAAAATTCTTTTATCAATTTTAGAAAATACCATTGTCAGTAAACTAAATATTGCCATTGCAGTGATACAGAACGTCATCAAGCAGTTCATCGACGCAGTATCGCTAGAGACATGGAACCACGCACGCAGAAGAAAAAAATGCTTTCATTGTACATAATCCATTTAACTGCATTTGCATCAACTAAAAATAAAAAAAAGAAACATTTCGATCGAGAGGGCCAAATTTTAGTACACCCGATCAAACTCGCATGCCCCAAGAGCGTTTTGCTAAAATTCTTTTATCAATTTTAGAAAGTACCATGGTCAGTAAACTAAATATTGCCATTGCAGTGATACAGAACGTCATCAAGCAGTTCATCGACGCAGTATCGCTGGAGACATGGAACCACGCACGCAGAAGAAAAAAATGCTTTCATTGAACATAATCGATTAAACTGCATTTGCATCAACTAAAAATAAAAAAAGAAACATTTCGATCGAGAGGGTCAAATTTTAGTACACCCGATCAAACTCGCATGCCCCAAGAGCGTTTTGTTAAAATCCTTTTATTAAATACCCCAAGGAACATTTATTGGGCTCTACCACGATATTCGATATAATCACTTGAAAATTAATGATCGAATAATTTTGTCACGCGAATCAAGTACGAGGTCGTCCATACAACCGTCCCTGGTAGCATAAAATAATTTCTAAATATTTCTTTGTAATCTTTGCTAAATATCTCAAGCGACAGATTTTTTAAGATTTCTTGTAGATTTCATTCGAAGATATCTGAAATATTTGTTGAAAATCTCAATGACATATTTAGTTTCAATAATTTATAAACATATAGAGAAATTATATTTTTTAACTTATTAACATAATAAAAATACATTTTTTACTTCACGACTATTATCGGACACTTCATTTGGTATCAAAAAACACGAGAAATTTTTCTAATATTTTCGTTCCGCTATTTCATTATGGGAGCAAAACGTGTGATTTTGATTTTAAATATTTTTAAAACGTTTATAATGTATTCGGCAGATAATATTTAAAAAATACTTGTATTAAAATGAAACGAAATGTTTTGTATATCTGGTAGAAAAATATTATGAAAACACATGGAGCTAATATTATATAAATATTATAGAGATAATATTCTAAAGTAAACGTTTTGCAAATATTTCAAATGTCTGATAAATATTTACAAAATGTACGATATTCGTTAAATATATAGAAAATATAGGACAAATATTTTGTGGTACTAGAGATACTTCGTGGTTGAATAAAGAAAGCACGTATCAATTCAACCGAATATTTTTCCTGCGTGCGCGATCGGTCTTTGTACACTATTGTACAGGAGTAATCAGGTTATCGGGCCGGTATCGTGCCATTAGTAATTTCATCGTATCAGGGTCCTTCACCCGCTCCGTCGATAATTACCTCGTCGGCAGAACCGATGCTGGCCTCTTCGCGGGCCTCCATCTCGACGGTGGCGGGGTCCCTCTCGGGGGTCTTGATCACCTTAACGTTGGCCATGCTGCCGCGGATGACGATATTGTTCGCCTTGAAGTACTCGTCGGCCTCTTGGTCGACGACAAGGAGCTTCGTTTCCGTGGGGAAGGCTTTGATGCGCTCGACGACCTGCTTGTGGGTCTCGTTAGCGATGTTGATCTCGTTAACCTCGACGATGCGATCGCCCTGCTTGAGGCCCGCGGCCTGGCTAGGCGAGCCCTCGTCCACCTTGCCGATAAACTGGCCGCTGAACTGCCCGTTCTTCCCCTTCTCGGCGTGCAGGTTGAACCCGTACCCGTCGAAGTCGTCCCATTTGACGATATGACAGAGCCGCGCAGAAGGCACGCGATCGCCCTTCAAGGAGGACATCGTGGACTGGGTTGAGGACAAACCCTAAAGCGCTTGGGTGGTCCTAGGACGTGGACACGGCAGACCACCTTGGATTTCGAAATCGGTACCGCTGACCCCTGGAGGTGTTAAAACTTCCAAGCAGTCTTGACTCGGATGGACCTAGATCGTAATCGTTCCGATGATTTTGGAGACGGACTCTAAGAGTCTTGCGTTTCAGATCCAGCTGAAACTTAATTATAAGTGGTCAGAACGCGCCGGATAGTTCTGGACGTTTCTAGGTACTTTAAGGTGAGTAGCTCTTGAAAATCACGGCTCCTTATCTCGGGCGGTCTCAAGTATTTATACACTTCCGTGGAGTCCTTTGAACACGGGTCAAGGGTCGCAGGTCACTCTGGACGTCCTTGGTGATGTCGATTAACCCTCGGCGTTTCTCGGTGGATTTTATTCGAAATTTTTTGCGCCGTGATCCTGGGACGAGATCCGTCAAATTATTCAATGGCCGTGAGGTTCCAATCCCGCGATGTGCGGCTCCGTAACGTGGTCCGGCGGATTCGTGGGGATTTTTCCACTCGCCGAGGTGCGAATCGGGAGATCGCGGATCGAAGCTCCCCTGGAGGTCCGGCGCTCAAAACAGGCCCTAAGGTGGCCCGGCGGGTGCGCGCGCAGCTCTCGCCGCCGATCCGCTGCCAGCCGGCGACCGCGAGATCCTACCGAGTCCTCGGGAGGTCCTCGGGAGATATCTCGAATAAATTCTTACGGCTTCTCTTGGAAATCCAACTCCTGGACGGAATGGGCACCGGAGAGCTGGAGGACGGACGGTCGGGCCCGGTCTATTGTACTATCTGCTCCGCGACACGGGACGCGAGAAGCACGACGAACACCGCGTGGACTCCGTGGCGAGGCTCTGCCGCCGACTCTGGCCGGTCCGGCGCCGGCGCGCCCGACACGCTCGCGGAAAAGGAGTGGGACCGATGCGCCGCCACGCGGCAGGTGCGCGAACCGCGGGGCCACCTTGAAACTTCGCCGGCCGCCATGACACCTGGCCGAACGCGCTGGGTCCGTTAACGACTTTTCCCGAACCACATCGAATTCTACGACTACCTGGAACTAAATTTTAGGAAATAACCCAAGTTTAAGGAGATTCTCCCCTAAAAACATGTGTTTGCGATCTCTTTATCTTGCGTTTTAGCAAATGGAGGGAAAATTCTGCCGATATGAATACTGGAATATTGTGACGCCTAGTGGCGGTTGCGCGAACCTTAGATAGGATACGTTTGGACACCTGTTTGGTTGCCCAGGACTTTTCAATGCATCGTTGTTGTTTCGAGTATTATTAATTAATTGCGGGATTCAGATACACGGATACTATTTAGATTGTCTACCACTAATTTTATTCCTTTAAAAAGTGGAACTGGAAATTTCGTCTTACACGTATCAATTAGATTTCAACAAAGAGACTTTTTTGACAAATTTCGTGCTTCTAGATTTAGCCGTTTTCGAAAATACCTAAATTGTCAATCCCCTTTTTTATCTCCTTAGATATCAGATTTGGAAAAATCTCGTCTTAGTAGTTGCTTACGTGTCGAGGGGAAGTCTTTCCGAAAAAATTTTAATTTTCTAGGTCCAGCAGTTCATAGTATGTAGTTTATAGTTACTTATCCAGACTATTTAACAATGACTTTTTGACATTTCACAAATGTTCAGTCTCCTCGTACATCTTCTAAACGATTAAAAGAAACACGTTTAATATTGAAACGTCTACTTTATAGATCCTCGATACAGGCCAATTAAATATATAAAAAGAAACGAATTAACACGATTATATGAAACAAGTAAATTTATTTAAATCTGCGCGAAATTATTCCTAAGAGCCTTTAAGCGCCACCGAGCGGCGTGAGCGAGAACTTCTCGAAGGTTGAATCCCAACCCAGAAACTGCACAAAACAGCTGATTAAAAAAATATATATATACAGGAATTAAAATAAGTTACTTGGGAACCGAAATCTGGTTCGTGGAAACGGGGAACGGAATAGGGCCGTAAAGTCATTACTTTACTACGAAGGGGACAGGATGCAGGTAGCTGCAGCACCGCCAGAATCCGAGAAGCGCGTGAGGTGGGATTGAGAAAGAAAGAGCGGGGAGAACGTGAGAAAGAGGAAGACAGAGAATAGGAATCAGCGACGGTGGCGCCGCCTGTTAGGAAATATCAAGAACCGATCCGAGAGAGAGAAAGGAGAGATCTTCTCCGCCTTGGGTGCGAGAGAGAAAGCGAGAAGTCGAGATTCCGACACCTGTTAAAAACAATTGCCTTTTCCTCGATTCGATGACTCACAATCAGTCACGGCCACTTTACTCGATTATCGCGCGCTGTGATATCGCGAGGGCGCATTTCGGGTGCGCGGCCATTATTGGCCGTCGATGTACCTGCGCATGCGTCCAACAGGTGGTTGCACACCCTGCAATGGGATCGCCGGGAAGCAGCTGCATTGCGCGCTCCTTCTGGCACTCTTTTTATATCTATCTCTGGAAGTCTCACCAGCTCTCGCTCTCTCCCTCATTCTTTCTCTCCCGGCAGGGCATTAGAATTCGAAACCCGTTTCGTTTTGTAGGAGACGACTGCCACGTGTCCCCTGCGCTTTTCCCCGGAGCAGTACCTACTTTTCGACCGGTCGTCGACATCCCATGGAGACCAGAATCACCGACAGACCTTGGTTTCGTGATAAGGGATACGAGATTAAGGGAAGACACGAACGAAACATTAGCGGAAAGATACTCTGCGCCATTGTTTACACGGAATCGCTCCTGTGACACGACCGAAGGTAATCTCTTATTGCGGGGAAATCTTTCCCAGAATCCGAAGATATTCTTCGGGGAAGGAGAAGGCATCTAAGCATGCTTTATCAGTCGTGGTCATATCTGAAATGAGGAATATTCATGAATATAAATTAATCGTTTTATTGTGACGACAAGGTAGATTTTAATTACGTTGCGTTGTCGATGTGTAATACGGATGCGATACCTTGATACGTATTTAAGCTATCTTAAGGGGATCTCATGAGTTCCCTATTAGCATAGAACAATTCCTAAATATTTGTTTGTAATCTTTGCTAAATATCTCAAGCGACAGATTTTTTAAGATTTCTTGTAGATCTCATTCGAAGATATCTGAAATATTTGTTGAAAATCTTAATGACATATTTAGTTTCAATAATTTATAAACATGTATAGAAATTATATTTTTTAATTTATGAACATAAAATAAAGAAAAGATTTTTTACTTCACGACTATTCNAGATGTACGATATTCGTTAAATATATAGAAAATATAGAACAAATATTTTGTGCTACTAAGGTTGTTAGGCGACTAGTCGCGGCTGCCTCGAGGAACTGCTACGTCGATATTAATTATCGAACAATTGCGACCTCGGGTTAGAACTTCAAGCCGTGCGATAACTTATCGTCACGGTGGTAAATGCCCGAATGCGAAGAACAATGGCGCGACACAACTAGCTAAGAAACGTACTGGAAGAAAGACGAAGCAAAGAGAGCATCGGTGTATCGCACGGCAAGAAGTTTCCCTTTCTTTGTAGCCCCATTGTACATACCGTCGACGGGATCTTGCGTACAGCGTGCCGCAATATTGTTTTATGAGGTAATTAAATTCACTGCCTCGCCTGGCGCGGAGAACGCCTTAGCGTTTAGCTCCTTAGGCGACTTTAATTGTCTCGTTTCTCGACAATGTAACAAGCACCTCGTCGGAAACTGACAAAACACCTAACACATACCCGCTCTTATGAAAAGTTGTTTCACGTTATTGCATGAATTAGTAAAAATTGCAGTTGTTCGTTAGTTTGCAGGGAGAAAAATAGGGCTAAATATTACTACGAGCTGTGACATAGGCGCCTGTCTCTAAAGGGATATGATATACGACTGCGGAAAGAATGAAAGTTACTCTATAATTTGTAAATTTACAATTTGCAAATTTAGTCTTTCTTTCTGCAGTTGTTGATATATTATATCCTTTTAGGGACTAACGCCGATTCCGCACCTCGTAGTGGTGATGTTTTATTACGAAGTAATGTAAGGATACGTAATGCTTATGGTCGACATCACATCATAAAAAGTGGCCCCAGAATCGGAATCCAAGGATCTCGGATTTTCGCTGATCTAACGAAGCTAGTGCCACTAGCGGAAAATTGCGGAACTCCGATTCTGCCTGACCAAACACTTCCAATCAATACAAAAAACCTAAAATGGTTTTAATTTTTCAATTAAGGCACGTAACGTGCAAAGGTAATCAGCACATATTATGCAGAATGTGATGTTTTCAACGTGATAAATTCAAGCAAACACAATAGCAGTGAATAATTTTTTATTGCAACGTTTTACGAAAGAAGCGCTCTTGACCCTAGATCGGGGAAATTTCCAAATCTCCATATACTACTTAGTGTATTTAACACTAATCTCTCTCAATTGAGATTATCCACTGAAAAATGAAGGCAACGTTAATTTCAGCGATATTGTTTGTATTGCAAGATCTTCCTTATCAAAATACGTAAGTAATGTTCCCGATAAAGAAACATACCCGAGGTCGTATTTTATCTTCTTTTCGGGTTTGATGGTAGCAGTACAACCGCGTTGATGTAATGATGTCGCGTGTCGAAGAAACAAGGATATCGTTACATGAGACATGGTATCTGAAATGAAAACCAAATACATCAGGGATCCTATGCGATGGTCGGAAATCGCATTATTCGCGTAATTGTGCAGATCGCGTCAGACCATCGCCAACGACCCTGAATCTCCCTGTACACAAAACGTGGACGGAACGCAAAAGTGTATAGAACGACGATTCGCGTACCAGTCGCGGCATGTTGTACCGTGTGCGATTACGAAATGCCTGGAACAACGAAGCATTAGCAATTACACTCAACGCTGTATCTTATCTCGTGCATTTCCGACCCTGACTTTGAATGCACGCAAGGAACGTTCATTTCGAAACCAAGAACCATCTTTCCGAAATCAGATATCTTCTCGTTTGTTCGCAGTATTGCCAGGCGAATAAATTAAATTCCTCCAAAATTGACTTCCATTTGTTACTTATTTGCAAAAAAGTACACATAAATATCTGATGTATTTGCTTTTTACCTAGTCAATATAGATTTTTAAACATCATGTGGAAATTGGGGTTGAATGACATTCAGTGTATCGTGTTAACCCATTAATCACTCCAAATTCATTCGTTTCACTAGAAAAGAGGTTTTATCTTTGATTCCACCCCAATCCACCTCGATCTAGGGATAAAATCCCTAATATGGCAACACTATTGATCGATGATACTGAGAAATAGAAAATTACCATATCAATTCTACACTGCGAAGAAAAATGTCATTGAACCAAAGAAATATTTCGTTGATTCAATTACTAATTATTTGGCTTTAATAAATTTCAATAAATTGGATGTAACATTTCTGTGAAAGTATGACAAATTATACTGTGAGTTAATAAAATATTTCTTTGCTATTGTTCAAAGAAATTTTCTTTGGCTCAATGAATATTTTTTCACGGTGTAGTTATACCAAATTTGTTTACTTTAAAATTTCATCTTCAAAATTGTTCCCTCGTCTTTTTTTCAACAAAATCAATTTATCCTCTTAAACTGAAGCTAACCACGCCATTTATTGAAGTAACATGACATGATTACTAATGTTGCATAATTCATTTGGAAGAATTACTCTTCGCAGGTCTTTGACCATAGGAAACCAAGGGTCATAAGCAACGGTATTCCTTCCCGTTGAATTCCAATCCATAAGACGAATACACGTTAAAATGGGAAAGAATGTTATAGGAAACGAGAAGAAATTGTCCAATTATGAAGGTTACACGGAGGTCTTACCTAGTGCCAAAAAAATATCCTTTCATTCCAAGGGTTATTGCTCTTTGCGATTCTAGCATCTTGTGCAATCACGTTCCATGCCCCGTGGACAATAAAACAATGATAAGCCGAGAACTACACCTATGGTCATAGTAACGTATGCGTAAAAAGAAAGTACACCTATTGTAAATTTAAATTGCGGTTAATACGACACATTTGCTGAAGCCATATTACACTATTCAAAGATTTGTCCTGGTCCTATTAAATTAATAGTTATTGTGCAGTCCGATGTGCCATAACTCGAGTTCCTGCTCAAGTAGCATAACTTTTCTTTCCCTACTTTCACCATAAACATGAGGTAACGCTTCTGTACGCACTAAAGTAAAATTGATATCCCTTTTATTAGCATGGTATAAAAAATCATATTAATAGAATTTTACTCCAATTCTTGACTGCCAAAATTAAACCAAGGATTATGACGTAGTAAGATGGTTCGCAAAACATTTTAATGATTCCCACTGTACTTAGTTGCACGTTATATGACAGACCTTGACTATCATTTGCAATGCATACATATGTACATACGTAGTCCACTTTGCATGTGACGAATAAGAACAACACACGAAGACCAATTGCTAACGCACTTAGCGTAAACAAATGTTTTATCACATGACATCAGTGTAGAAATATGTAAGCGAAGGTGATGAATTCGTTATGTGATACATAGCATCACTGATCGCAAGGCGATATCATGCGAGTTTAATATACATTTTTATTTGATGAAGTTATACGTGTTACAACCTTTCATACGCGCAGCACAACGGTTTTTATATTATACTAGGTAAAAATGACCAGAAATGTTCAGGGCAACATTCATCTATTAGAAGTATTACACATGTGTGGATACACTATCGCAATCGTATATGACAACTACGGAAATAGGAAGTGGTTAATTAGTGCTATTGAGATGACGTTTGCAAGGAAAAATGGACTCCAACAATTTCGTTCAAGACGCCAAGGTTACCGAGGTCGACCCCGCAATACCTAACAAAGTGATAATCGTTTCCATCGACCATAGATCTAACGGTTCGCTGAATTATCGCTGATAAGTCGAGAAGATTAGCATTCATTTAATTTCTCAAGGTCAAGATAGAGCACACGCCCAAAAATGTATTCGAGAAAATCCCCGAATAATAAATAAAAGTCATACGTTATCATAACTTACTAGTATTATTCCCCACGGAGGTGCATAAAGTACGATGCTCTCACTCGCCACGAAGCACCATTACCGGTCCTACATATCGCAGCAAAAGAGTGGTGAAAATGAAACGTAACCTACAAAAATGCCTTTGAAAATGCTTAAGTTCAAAATCTTGGCTCGATACCTAGTCCCCTTTTAGAAGGTAACACCTTGCACCGCCAGGTGCTCTCAATATCCAAAATAGGCGCCATCTTGCAGCAGCAAATGCGCGGATGCGCGCGCAGCGCTGACCGCGTAACATGCGCAGATGCGCCGCGAGTGGCTGCGAGCGAGAACCGTTACCGCGAGCGGACTGTACCGATCGGCGACCCAGAGTCGCGTCGCGCAGCGAGGTTAGTTTCCCTCGGTTCCTCGTCCGTTCCGGACACCCGTAGTGCGTCGACGTGTCATGCAAATGTGCTCGCTCGCCGGAGGTACCACGTCCAGGGAAACGTCCAGTGCACTCCGAGAACGCGTTCCTGCCCATGAGACATTGCCTTAGAGAGGTTCGCCTCGAATAATCGCACCTCGATATGTGGAGTCCGACGCACGTCCAAGTGACAGGTAGGTTCTAGGTAGGTCAAGTCAGCTCTCGTCGATCCAGGTACCGTTCCTCGCTGCCTCGGTAGAATTTGTCATCCGCGTGACGTGACCGCGAGGTCGCGTCTCGCAATGCCGATACTCGAAGCACGAGAGTACGACTCAGGGCCATTCGAATCCGGGCATTTTTTTTACGCATTTCTATAGCCCTTGTTATTGCATTTATCCACCGAATGAGATATAGTCGGAAGGGAAAGTTCGCGGCGCGGTGGATGGACTTTGTTTTTGTCAAACGCGGCGCAGTTGTCGGATTAAACACCAGGTGGCGCGACGGTCGCGCTCTCGCGAGCGGTAGGAATAATTCGAATGAAATTCCGACGGATCTAATTAGTCACTTATAGAGTTGTCGGATGTGTCCCGTTATTTAAGTATAAGTAGTAACGACGCGGGGACTTTAACAGCTTCCGATTAGTTGATTTTGTTCGGCGGTGCGGAGAAACCGGCACCTCACCGTGACGTCCTTGGGACGTCATGGCCGCATCGCGTCGTACTTCCTAAACGTGTGAAGTACGAGCAGAGACGGATTTGGGCCAATTATCTATTTAGTTCACCTTTGTACGGGTTGAGGAAGAGGCGGAAGAGGGAGTGGCAGAGAGATGCCAAACAATGTTGCAACGAGCCGATACATTCTATGCACGAACCTCACTCTAGGGTCATACTACTATATATTATTGTATCAGTAATTCGGCAGCATCGTTACCGTTGTATATTATTCGTTATACATTTATTCAATTGCTGTACGCTCGTGTAATCTACACGCTGTAACAGAATTAGGACGCATGATTTATACATCACTATTTTCGTTAGCAATGGAGTCGAAAAGTCCTGTACAATTCTTTATACGGTACATAGTTTTTTCTAAAATAATCAGGAACTCGGTAGAGTTTCGCGCCAAGTACATTTACACGTGCATACGTAGTATGCGCGAACGCTACTGAGTCGTTAACGTTGTTTGAAACAAAACCTTGTGTTTCGACACCATCCCTGATAACCGAAGAAATATGACGTGAGTTTTATGCACTATTATCGTTTTTCAAGTTCAGACATTGTTTTTTTCAATTTTTGTAAAACATTAAGGCTGGGAAAGAGCGCCTCCCGCCAACGATGGCTCGCGTGAGATACAGTTGCTCTCCGCCCTAATTTATTTATCACAATAAAGAATTCATAAGCAGCATTTATGCTTTCCTTATCTTGACCTTAACCTGCGTCTAAGCCTTAAAAGTTTTCAACTTTAAACTCATTCTAAGATTTTAAGGGAAAGCGCATGGTATTGTACGAAAAAGTGCGCGTAGTTTGAACATGCACTGAAACATACCGAAATGTACGTTCTGCGCATGACCGCAAAGCGATGTCAGAATTAAGATTAATGATTAATAAGTGAAACACGAACAACCCCAAGAAAATTAAAATAGGAAGAAAGAAAAAATTAGAGTTAGGACGGAAGCATAAACCAGGAATTATTTCCGTCGCAAGAAAATATTGATTCAAATAAACTTATCGGCGCGTCACGAAAAACGCACTCTGTGTGACACCCGACTCCCCTCAGTGGGTAATCACACTGTTTTAAAACCTATGGGTTTTATTCCCCGTAATTTTTATTTCATTTTCATCTTCGACGCGTTGACGCGCCGCGTCCCGTGCGACACTTGACGCGCTCAGTGGGACTCCGACTTGAGGGGAAAACAACATACGACGTGCTCTCCGATTCGTGTTTTACTAATCGAAGCACCTAACTGGTTATTTTTCGATTAATTATTACAAACTGTACATCATAGAAATAATTGTACTGAACTCTTCGACTCCATTTTCAACCAAGATTGGAATATATAAATCGTGGACAGAAATTCTGCTACACCCAGTATAAGATACTCGGCAAGACGTAAGTGGATTGGAACTTATCGCTTCTAAAAATGGCAGAGAAACGTCACTTTAATTGTAAAATAACACAGCGGGGCTTACAAAGAAAGTCTTTCCGAGCGAATAGCCCAAAGATGAATCATTTGTACACTGGGAGACATCGATGCCCTCCCATCCTGCACAGGCGATGTATCTCCAGGGGAGGCATTCATGTCCGCCATTGTACACCCTGGCGTGGATAAGAGGCTTCGAAAGAACTGCTCAGCCGACGAACACGAAACCTTAACCATGCGGCCCGGTCGGTGCATCTTTCCACGTACATGCTTCGTGCCGCGACTTGGCGAGGAGCTATCGTAAATATTTACTGAACGCCATTGCCGAACCACGAGAGGCGACGAAGTGTCATCCACACGTTACTTGCATATTCGAAGATATATGTGTGTAGATACCTTCGGCCATATACCCTAATACATACTCGGCAATCAAGGGACGTCTGTATTTTCTCTAATAATTTTCAAATATCAAATGGGTTTTATAAATTATTTATACACATTATGTATACAAAACGACTGGAAATTTCTTCGCTGGGTGAACGAAAGTTGAACGGCTCATAAATGAACGAGACATGAGGTCATTCGATGTGATCTTGTTCATTTTTATTGGGCAATATTTAATCCACTTAAACGTAGAAGGGTTTGTATTCTCTCTAATATTTTTCAAATATCAAATAGATTTTATAAATTATTTATGTAGTATACAAAACGACTGAAAATTTCTTCGCTGGGTGAGCAATGGTTGAACGCCTCATAAATGAACGAGACATGAGGTCATTTGATGTGATCTTATTCATTTTTATTGGGCAATATTTAATCCACTTAAACGTAGAAGGGTTTTTAATTGAAAACTTTGTTGTGGTGGATTTATCTCGCCAGGGACTCTTAATTGTTGAGAACTCCGCTGTACTGGATTGCACCTGATTTCTCGTACAAGAAATCATACCGCAGTGGATTTACTGCATCGGGCGCTGGATACTGCCAGGAAATGCTCGTAATTCCATCGCGTTAATTTCGCAAGGGGGAGTAAAAATGGCATTCGTATTTCCCACAAAGCGGTATTCGAGACCGATGTTCCTGCATTCCCGGTTGGCCGGCTTGTGGGAATGCTGTGAGAGAACTTCGTCCCGATGGAAGCTATTCTCCTCCCCGGGTTAGGAGAGTTTTGAAATTATTTGAGGTCCCCTGATCCTATATACACACGCTCTACATGTGAACGTGTATAGGTCTGCCAGGATGTGTACGAAACTAATTACCGCCTTTCATTTTCAAAAACATATATGGAAAGTGTAAGTTAAGGGCGTAGACCGAAGTAACAAGTCGAAAACGGGCATGTTTTGGAACTTTTTTTTCTTTTAGAAAACAATGATATAATAACGTTCTGTTCTACTTCACTTAAATTAATGAGGACTATATAGAAAATATTCAATTAATTTAATGGTGTTCGGCCTGGTGTACGCGATTTCGAAGTGGACACACTCAGTATAGTTTCGCGCCAAATTACTTTGACCATATACTGGTTTCTTAGACAAAAAGAAATATTTAAAAACTGCCCATAAATGGCTATTACAGTATGTAGGGAAATTGAAAATGTAGAAAAATAATAGAATAGCGGGCATTTAAAAATTTGTTACATTTTGAAATTCCTTTTTATGTCCGCCAGTTTATGATTTTTAAACATTTTTTTTAATTTTCCTACATACTGTAATGGTCATTCATGTACAATTTCTAAATATCTTTGTATTTTTTATCTTTGTTTCAGATAAAGTGTACGGCCGATTTGCTGTCAACGCCACATTTTTTTTTTTTTTTTCTTATGCATCCAATTCGAAATCGTGTACACTAGTCCAAACACCATTAAATTGATTGAACATGTTTTGATATGTTCCTCAATAGTGTAATAAATTTCAACGTGTTAAAACAGAAAACGCTTATATCAAATTATTTGCTTTAAAAGATATTCCCAAAAATACCTGTTTTTTCGATCCATTATCCAGTTTTACCTCATTAAACATTGTATCCTGGCGACTTTAGCTTTAACTTCCAAAACAGTATTAACATACAAAATTTAAAAGAATACCAATATGCAATCGCTGTTACCAGTGCTCGCTGTACCGAATAATCTAGACATGTTAGAATGGTCTACGTGTCGTATAAGTTGCATTTCTTGCTTGACTGGCATTGATATCGATACGTTAACAACTCAGTTCTATGTTGGCAATAAATTTCATTACAGATTAGCGGATCTATTTTCTGTCGTGTCAGAAATCATTTTCTTGCTGTTCGGAAAGTTCCATTACCGTGATTAAGATAATGCGAAAAAAACAATTACCGTTTCCTGAAAGACATGTATTCTGACGAATTCATACTTCTGATTTCCATTCAATAAGTCTTTATCGGTCTCACTTGATTTAATTTGGAGCAAGTATTCTTGAAGTTTCGAAGCCGCGATGAAAGTCGTGCGTAGTGCTCGTCGTGCGTAAAGAATCTAATTTAGAGACTCCTCTCCAACTTTTCAACTTTTCCTCGGCACTGCATAAGGGAGAGAGCATTCACATACCTCTTTTCTCTTTTACAGTTCAGAGGGCGAAAGGACTTCTCACCAAAGGGAAAAATAGTAAGTAGAGAGCAACATTTTGTTAACATTGTCAGGGTAAGCGTATAGGCTCAAACCTATTGACAGTATTAAATTTTCTATAATCATTTTTCAGACAGATACAGGAAACTAAAGTAACGCAATGTTTAAATACAGTTTAAACGTGGTATTGGCCATACTTTTAGATACTGATTGTTTTGCATACAATCATTTTCACAATTTATCATTTTGCATACAATCATTTGCACAATTTATCATTTTGCATACAAAAATCATTGAGTTACGATGCATTGTAAAGAACCGTATTTTGGTGTAGGGAAAACCGAGGTAAATTGATGAATGTTTAATACATTTTTTGTTTTTCACATAATACCAATCTTAATTTTGTCATACATTCCTAATTGTATTCCACACTTTTCTTGGTACTTAACATAATTTGTTGCAGCATCGTTTATTTATAAAACATAAAAACAAAAACTGTGTGATAAGAAGTACAGTTTTTCAGTCCGCATTTTTTTTTCTTTTTTTAATGCGGTGTATTGCTTTTCATCATTTTGAAAATATGGGATATAATAAAGCATCTATTTAGCTTTGCATCGCTGTATATATATTTTTAAACAAAATTGTTTATGATTTGTCAATATATTTTCTATTGTTAAAATGACATTCGGGGCAAGTTGAATAACAAGCTCTTAGCGTCGCGCTGGCTATTAGTTGTGCTGTTATCCTATTTTTTTTTTTTCAAGTATATTTCGAAGAATTATTTATTAGTTCACTTAAAATAATTAAAAGTGGATATTTTGACTCTGTCAAAAGGTACGAGGCCCCTTACGAGCGTTAAGGTGAAGTGAAACACGTCGAGGAACTTAATCGACGTCGATAAAGAAGATTCTTCTAAATACCTATTTTGCCGACGTTCGTTTTTATATTGACAACTGTGTCGAATTATATTGGGCATTGTACTAAGTGGCATACTCCACCTATCGCTTTCGTACAAAAATTATAAAGAAATCGAAGTAAAACTCCAGAAATCCTCTGGATTCATGTTTTCTGGGGCCCTAATTGACTGCAGAGGGGGGACTCCTGCGCCATCTGTGATTTCCAGGTCAATTAAATTTTCACTCCGAGACCTCATATTCCCATCGATTTAGCATAGAAGCGCATAAGACACTTTTTTTGCCTTTATCCCGTTCTAATGCGAGTTTCTCGATTACCAGAGTGTTCTAAATTGTCGTAAAATTGTCTTAACCCTTTCGTTTCTCATATCAGAGCCTTCAATAATTGTAAACCGATCGAAATACGAGAGCTCGACGCCATTTTGCTTCTAGTCTGGGCTACGTAAAAAATTTCTTTGAAAAATCCAAATTTTGAACATGTCAGGACAATTCTTAGATGATCACGAGTCATGCGTCAAAGTTTCGGACAGTTTGGTCCAATACCCATAAAAAAAAAAGTTTTGTATTCGAATCGATTGATTTGAGGAGGGTTTCACTTCACCTTTATACGAAGCGAATCGTGAATTTGCGAGGACGCAGCCGAATAGGCTCGGTCTGCAGAAACGCGGAATTACGTAAGGCCTCGCGAGGTACGATTTTGCCGTCGAAGCTCTTCGGGTTTCAAAACAAACGCTGACCTACCGACCGAGATTCCTGACAATTTGTCGGCGGCACAAACCGGGTGATCACCTCCTTCATGTACCGCATGGAAAATCCGCACGAGCTCTAAAGTACGCGGTCAATGTTTCCGACTTTCCCCTAGTAGCATAGAATAATTTCTAAATATTTCTTTGTAACCTTTGCTAAACATCCCAAGCGACAGAGTTTTTTAAGATTTCCTGTAGATTTTATACGAAGATATTTGAAATATTTGTTGAAAATCTCAATGACATACTTAGTTTCAATCATTTATAAACATATAGAGGAATTATATCTTTTAACTCATGAACATAATAAAAATACATTTTTTACTTCACGACTATTATCGGACACTTCATTCGGTATCAAAAAACGCGAGAAATTTTTCTAATATTTTCGTTCCACTATTTCATCATGGGAGCAAAACGTGTGACTTTGATTTTTATATATTTTTAAAACGTTTATAATGTATTCGGCNACTAGGGTCCTTTCGCTACGCGTCATTTCCATAACTAGACAAAATGTTATTCCGAGGTAGCCAAGAAACGTCGAGGTCTCGACGGCGTTACCGTCCAATGTCGTTACGATTCATTAATCCGGTAATAATGTCTGGTAAATATTTACAAAATGTACAAATATTCGTTAAGTATATACAAAATATAGGACAAATATTTTGTGCCACTAGGGTCCTTTCGCTACGCGTCATTTCCATAACTAGAGAAAATGATATTCCGAGATAGCCAAGAGACGCCGAGGTCTCCACGGCGTTACCGTCCAATGTCGTTACGATTCATTAATCCATAAGGCTGCCCTCTGAACGCCCACATTTGGTTAATTCGCAGAGACCAACGACTGCTTCGTGACCATTGCACTGGGCAAGGAGAAATACCAGACCTCGGTGAAGGAGAAGGCATCCGAGAACGTCGAATGGCACGAGGAGTGCGAGCTACAAATCCCCCAACAAGGAAACACCGCCGAAGTTGTATTGACGGCACTTCATCGGAATTTTTTGGGCGTAGATGAATTCCTCGGCACCGTCAGCATTCCTCTCTCCAGCTTCGACGTCTACGAGAGGCCCAAGAACAGATGGTGCATACGATGGATCATTATTCATTCCGACGAGCTTCTGAAAAAATGATGCGATGCAAAATTTCGCAAACTTGGAAATGATTTTTTTTTCTTTTTTAAACCGCCTCGCATCAGGAATATCCTTGCAAGTTGTAGGGAACGCAAAGTCTCCGCTTATCGGTACGGCGCTTAAAGTTACCGTTACGCAATTACGCCTTGTAAGAAACGGTGTACGGGTGAATTTGCACATTTGTACCGAGGTTCTGTTAGGTTACCTTGTAGAGACATACTTATGCAGCAAGTTCGACGGTGCGCGCGGACTCGGTGGAATATGTGGGAAAACTTTTAATAATGCTCCTTTACTTTTACTTCTGTGAACCGATATCGCATTTCTTAGAAGCTCCATTAACGGTAACATTTACCTCTTCGTGGAATTCCTCCTGGGGGTTAATGATCGAACCACGTGTCAGGGGTTAATCAAATTTAGTTCGTGCGTTTTGTATGAAGTTTTACGATGGCTCGGTTAGCGATTGACGTATCGGAAGGACTTAAATTAACGCGAGTTATTGATTTCAGGTACGTTCTCAACAGTAAACCTGGAAAGGAGAATACGAAAGAAAGGGGTGAACTCGAGGTTAAAATTGGGTTTATCGTCAAAGCTGGAAGTCTTACCGATTTGACGAGGAAAGAGAGACACAAGAGCTCGCTGGGTCAATTGTCAACTGCAGCACAGTCAATTGGGGGGAGCTTGTTGAGTATTGGCAGCATAGAGAAACGCAAGGGGTTGAAAAAACTTGCCAAATCTATTGGGAATAAGGTTAAAGGCAAGAGTAAGACTAAACTCGACAAAGAAGGCCTTGATGAGCGAGAGGAACACGACTTTCGTCCTTCGAGGCAGGAGCCTGGAGAAGCTGATCCTGGTGTTATCAGTGAAGACGAAGACGAGTTTACGGTGAATTTAATAACATCCTGGTTGGTTGTTAACACATTCGCGACCGCTGACGTGAATTCACGTCTTTTCAAGTTCTATTCCTGGTTGCCGCTGACGTGAATTCACGTCATTTTAAATTCTATTCCTGATTGCCGCTGGCGTTAATCACGTCCATAACGATACACGATACAAGTTTGCGGCAACCAGTTTCAGAATTTCATTATTTTCGCCGGTACTCAGTATTTGAAATGGAAAAAATTTGCCGGTCGCAAATGTGTTAAAATGTCAAAAATAAGAAGGGATTATTTTAGGGACTGTCCTGTAATTCTATATCATTTCTAGTTTGATGACTTGTCTCACAAGAGCTCGGCGTCGTCATTAAACGCTCCTGTTAACGCTAACACTGCCAATGGGAACTTGTCTACTACCGTGTCTTCAAATTCTACCAACGTTGTTACGACTGGGGAATCACAAAGTCCACCTCCATTGCCAGCAAGTGCTGCACCAAATAAGCCTCCTCGTTTTACGTTAACGTCTTCGAATCTGTCGAGTTCGAAAGCCGAAAATCATAAAGAAGACGAATGGGGTCGCAAGTTGTATGGGAAACAGGGCAACAATACGCTGCGGAGGTACGTTTATGAAAAAAGAATCTCTTATAATCTAATTACAATATTAAACCTTTGCCCTGGACGCCTTTTCGGCTAATGGAAACTAGCAACTCGAGGCTGGTTTTTTTTTTTTTTTCATTTTGCATGCTCCATATTACAACTAAGGCTTTGAAATATACCTAAATGAAACGTAAAAAATTATTGTCGACTCTTCCTTGTCATTCAAGTTGTTACATCAAACCAAACGATGACCGAGAGTTGTCTCTCGAATGCATAGGGTTAAAAGAATATGATGTACAGGTGATAATATATAATAATTCGTATATATTTTCACAGGTGGGAAGAGAAACAAAAACCTAGGATTATTGTCGACGAACCCAAAGAGGAAAGAGATGGATCGCCGTCTCCTGCACAGACACCAACGTCTAAGAACCGGGAACCTTCGGAACCTCCTAGTCCTGCTCCTCGAGAAATTATTCACCTGAAAAACAACAAGGATGAAAAGTTGACTCCGAAGGAGAAAAACGTAAAGGAGGACAAGTTAAGTCGAAGTCCAAAGGAGGAGAAACAAACGAAAAAGGATAAGAAGAAAGAGAAGGAGCAAAAGATCAAGGACACGGGTGATGATCGCCATCTATCTTCGGAAAGAATTATTATTGGTGGGGAAGACGCCGTAAGAAATGCCAATAATACCAAGAGTCGACTTCCTCACGAACTACTAGCCCAATTCGACGGAAAGTCCAGAGAGGTGAGAAAGAAAGAGATTTTCTTTTAAATATTTGTTGTTTGGTACTCGTTATTGTAATTATATTCGTGAAAAAACAAAGGGCCTATATCGCCATTATTCAACGTGGAAAACATGTACTACTTAGCAAAGTATAAGTTAGAGAAATGTATAATTGTCAACTTCGTATTTATTTTTTAGGACCTTATCGAGATGGCGATACGACTTCAGGCAGAAGTAGCCGATAAGAAAAAACGATTACTCGATATGGAGGAGTACATAGACGAATTGTTGTTACGGGTGATCGAAGCGTCACCGCGATTGTTGCAAAATCCTTACGATACGCAAATGCGAGTACCCTCGCCAGGGCAATAGTCTTCTTTGAGCTTCTTCCGTCTTCATTCGAATAATTCTCAAGACTTGTAATTTATTTCCTAAACGAGTTTTCCCAGTCCATTTTCTCGTTTTAATTACAATTCTGTGCCACAATCAAAATCTGCCAATATGATTCCTCGGTATTGAACAACGCTCGAGAAATCGTGAATCTGAAACCTCTGCTAAAAAAAGTTGCTCTAATTATTCTTAGGAAGTAATTGGTTTCTTTGAGTGAACACAAAGTCGTGCGTATTACCCTTGCTTGATTATAATGTTTACATTGACATTGATTGCATATCAATCAGCAGAGAAAATACAAGATGGAGGTTGACCTGTCTTCCCGCAGACGCTCGGATAGCTCTAAAAAGTCGATGAAGCCTTTTTGGCTTCGAAGAGACTTGTTTGTTTCCGTCCAATCTTCCATTGCGGAAAGGATTCGTAGTTTCAGAACAAACGTCGAAGAATAAACCCTATGTGCCTTGCTCATCACATATGTGCACGTTGTTTATATTCGGATTCTATTATAGACGATGCACTAATGTAGATCTAATGTTTTTAACCAATTTTCTGTTACGATTGAAATTTTAATAATTAGAAAATATCGCAACATAAAAGGAAAGAAAATTTAGTAGGGAAAATATTTTATCGAGTGTACCTTGGGTAGTGTCTTCCAGTAAATGAAACTGCTAATATTTTGTACACACAAAATATAACAAAACTGTCTCGTTACGAACTGAATACAGTAAATTTCTGTTAATTTTATTATAAACGTGAGTATTAATATAATTGGTCGCAAAGAAACATTCGATCCATTTTAATGTATAGTTTGTAAAGTATATTTATAAGTTACATGTTGTTACTTTTAATCGTTCATTGTCGTGGAGTATATTTAATATAAACTATTTAATACTGAAGTATATTTGTTTATTATAGTTGATAAGGTACATTGAAAATTGCAACAACCAACTTTTTACATTATTAATACAAACATTTCTTAATGTATCTTTATTATCTCCATCGATATGTCACCATACCATCGGGCAGGAATTTTTGGCACTATCCTATGATACATTCTTTGTCTTTTTGTCTCTCTCTATATATATTTTTTTTTTTCCTTAACAATATGAAAAGTAAACTCCAGTGAGGGAGAATAAATAACTGAAAACCAAATGAAACGGGGTATTCCTTGAGAACCCATGAATTGGCAGTAGTTGCAATTTCGTGGATAAAATTTCTTATTACGACACGACTTGCTTATATAAAGAATGAGGAGCAAAAATTTGGAAAGACTGTTCCTCATCCGTTCGACACCACATTTGATTTTCTGGTGTGACGTATACTTTTGCAATCTTTCCTTCTTGTAAAGGGATATTGTACTCTAAACTAGGAATACAATCTTTCCTTAAAAGGGGAGGACGTTTTGGTTCTGTTGTGGTGTCCAACCACCAGATAAATTCTCTAGTTTCCTGATTCAATTTGTTGGCGGAGGGCACTTCTGTAAAAAAAAAAAATTACCTCATGGTACAAATTAAATCGTTAAGTATCTTATACTTTGGAAAAAAGTTTTAAAGATGTAAATACCAATGCATTCTCTGTATTCCATGAAACGAACCATGGTCTGCCAATCTAATTCAGGACAGTCAGGCATTAATGAACCCGAGCCTCTAAGTGTATGCCATTCGTTACAGAACGGATCAAATACATGAAAAGACGTCATATTGAAGACAATATGTCCACATACTTTGGCTGTAAGCGGTACATTAGTAAAGCTTTCAGGAATGTCTGCCACTTGCGACCACTCTCCTGGAAAATGAATTTATAGCCATTCTTAAAAAAAAAAATTTCATATGTCAAATTGAGTTCCAGGGTAACCAAGTAAAAAAAAATACACTTTCTGTAATTTTACATTTTGTTCCGCTTAGTTATATTCAAACTAATTTTAATTTAAAGAACCTACCTGTCTGCAAGTTTAGTACATCAACGGAAGTGAGTTTCATCCTGTATTTGCCTATGCCTCCAAATAAGAATAACTTTTGCTTGATGAAAACTGCTACCATGTGTCTTCGAGGACGCGGAAGTCTGTAAACCATTTACCAATTGACCTTCTGTGCCATTGTTAGAAATGTATGATCATTTTCGAGAAACTCACTTTCCAATACGATATAATTTTTCAGATAACAAACAATAACGCCAAACATAGTCATTGAATGAAGCTGAACTCAAACCATAACTTCCGCCGATAAAGTATATACTGAATCCTATAAAATGAGCAGGTATTTTAATTACAATGAGCTACAATAATAGAATTTTATTATGGTCTTAGAGAGTAATAGTGAAAAACCGATGACAAGCTTGACGGTAAATAGATATTTCATCGTTTTGCCCTGTGCATTATTTACAAATTGTAAGTAATAATTAGATGTATATGAACTTTGAAATACCTCTTCCTAAAATTTGCATGCCCACGATTTTTGCAAGGGTTGCAGTCACATTCTTTAACCGAATACTGTGTAGTTCGGCATCATCCCCCCAATAATTGACACATAGTTGTTGCTCATCATTGACTGCTTCGCGACGTAATTTACAGGCTAATATATTTGGTTTCCTATTTTTCATAACATTGTTGCCTAGAATGAGTTGCAATTGTCTTCCTACCGTCATCTAAAATTAAGTGATTTTATACTCAGAATTCATACCAAAAGTCATTTTCTAATCAAGTTTGTATTCTATTCTTAACCATTTATAAATTCACTTGTTCAGCTTATATTTCTGGCTCAGTGTGTTCAACTTTAGCTGACAGTTTGAAAGCTCGCTTCGTGTACTTAAACAACTGATCTTAAACTATTATCATTTACCAAGGAAGTAGATATTGGAACTTACCACATTGCCTCTGTAATTTCTTTCTATCCACTGTATTGTTATTATAATTAGATATCGAGCTTTACATTTGATATTTACATTTCTAACAAAAGACATGAAGTCGTTTCTTGATAACTCGGTAAGAGCAGAACACGGAAGTTCAGTAAATTTCTCTAAACAAGCAGCGAATGAAACATTTTTCAAGGTCTTCAAGCCTAATTCTTTTGCCAATAGCCAGATGTTTATTAAATGATCAGGTAGAAACCAATTAAACATTACGACTTCTATTAGATCTTCGGTTAAATTATCGCATGTATAAAGAACGCTGAGCTTCAAAAGAGCTACAAGGTCTGCGTAAGATTTCCTGGTATATTTATCTAGGCAAGATTTAATAAAGCGACTATTTTCAAGTTGTATTAACATTTCCTCATTTATCCATTCAATGAAATCCTAAGGAAAAAATAATTATGCATAGAAATCGCATCTGGTTATGGAATTTTATATTTTCGTGTAATATTTTGCACCAACCTGTAGAGTTTTCAATTCAATGTCATAACTGATTATGTGTTCTTTTAGAATGGAATCACTAAATTTATCGGAAAATAAACAAGCAAAGTATTGACTCTGACTAGAAAGTCTGCCTTTAGAAGCTTCAAGGCGACAATCATCGAGGATCAGTGTTACTATATCGTCCTTTTCATTCTTTGGACCCACTATATTTTTTATAAAACAAACGCATTTATTTATATTACTGCCTCTTATTAAATAAATAGACATAGTGTTAGTTGTAACAAATAACATAATTATTCAGGCCAGTTTAGCCTTTAATTTAAAAACTACTTATAAATATGATAATTACAAGTAACCAGTTCACTCTTATTTTCTTTTTCACTATCCATTTCCTTAAAAGTTTCAATATCACAGATCGTTATATCTTGTTTGACATCTTCAATCTAGAATAATCGTACATTTGACGAAATCACCACACATACGTTATTTGGATTGACAAATAATTATCGTTAGAGCCGCAGCTTATAAGGAAACTCCCAGGGGAGGGGGGAGACTATCAGGAGTGCCAACTTCAGTCCTGTTTACTTTAGTACTAGCGCTCATCTCTGTATATACAGAGATGAGCGTATATAGTAAAAAACTGGGACGCCCGCCACGCTTAAAGTGAAGTGAAACACTTCGAGGAACTTGATCGACGTCGGTAAAAAAGATTGATCTAAATACCTACGTTGCCGACGTTCATTTTTTTATGGACGGCTGTGTCGAATTATACTGAGTATTGTACTAAGTGGCATTTTTGTGGAAGCGTATTTATGTCGTAATTAAATAATACATTAAATAGCTGCATTCCGTTCTAGCAGTGCAGCCTAATGAAGTTATGTCTTTTCATTGGCTTTATAAAATAGTATAAAATTGCTTGACATATATGTTAACAGCTTTGTAGAAGTGTAAAATACGTTCATATTTGTACCTGGAATCAATTGGAAATAGTGTATTCATTGACTGTCACATTATGCATAAGCTTACTAATTCTGATTTAGTACATAACGGTAACAACTGCTTCAAATAATAAGTCATTATGCCATGTTGGATATATCCAGTTTTTAAATTTTCAAAACAATTTTCTCCTCCGATATCTGACGCTAATATACATACTACATACCGTACACATGTAACATTGATGCAATTCTATTCAACTTACATTATCAATCATAGTGTAACTTGCCAGTACAAAGAAGCAGGGTTTAGATTTTCACACAGTTGTCTTGAGACTTCCCAGTACTTCCCAAATTCTTCCGTAACACATTTTTCTGACATGCCTTCCTCATTTAGAGGTACTTTACGGGGTATACGTATACTATAATTCAAATAGTACTTCTCATGCCAATATAGTTTGCTTGCAGTACCATCTACTGTGCTAGTCTCATCATTTCCTATGAACAGTTCTTATGTAAATTGATGGTAATTCTTTCAAAATTTGTACACTGCACTATGATGATATAAATACCAAAGCATTCTATATACATTGCAAGACGAATAGCTGACGGCCATTCATAGTCATTGGCACCCACATAATATTTATCTGGTATATAGTTCAGAGACATGGAGTTAAAATCTTCAGATAATGACCATTTGTTATCATGTTGGTCATATACACAAAAATAATTTTTATACTGGGAAGAACCACCAATATTTTTAAAAAGAAGTGGTGGACTTGGAATATCTGCTGCGTGCGTCCATTCTCCTGTAAAATGAATTGTCAACTATAGTCTCAATCTTTATGGTTTTTATAAACTCATGTTTTACTAAATTAACAAGTTTATAAAACTGAATCTAATCGAACCTGTATGTATATTTAACACATCTATAGAAGTGAGATTTGTTCCGTTCTCACCTAAACCACCCACTAACATTAACTTGTTTGCCATGAAACAGGCGATCAAATTTTTACGGGGACGAGGCAGCCTGGAATAACATTCAATAAAAATACTGACATTGTATATTGTACACATTTGATGCAAAATAATAATAGCATTACCTTGCAACATAGTACATCTTCTCGGATAACATACAATATCGCCAAATATCCATATTAAATTTGCCCAAATCTGAACTGTTGGAATCTGAACCGTTGGAGTCATATACCCCTCCAACAAAATATATACTGAATCCTAAAAAATTAAAATCATAAACGGAATATATTAAAACAGATTAAACAAGAATATTAAATTAAGTGATATGATGTATGCAAAAACAATACCTCGTCCTATAATTTCCATTCCCTTCATTTTCCCGAAAGGAACTGTTACATTATTCAATTCAATGGTAACAGTACTTGATGATGACTTATCCGTGGAACAAACATACTTTGTCACCTTGTTTTTTGAATCCTCAAAAGTTATATGACAACTCAATATGTCTAATTCTATTTGATCTGGTGGCATGTCCAATACATATGTTGAATGTGCCCAACGGGGTGTATTAATTACACAACGACGTCGTCCAACGTAAAATTCATCTTCACCTGAAGATGAATTTTCATCATATTCATTATTTTCATAAAGATTAAATTTAGAAACATTTTCATTATGTTCCCTTATATTCCTTGAGTATCCTTCAATGACTTTCCTTCGCTTCAAATATTCTGTACGATTAGAAATTTCATTCAACAACTGAAATAAAAATGTTACAACATAATTGACTCCCCTGAAATCATTAACACATTTTTTAAGTATTACTTGTTCACCGGTGAACATGAATGCCTTTATATCATATAGTGGTAGAATATCCATAAGGAAAGCAATCATGTTCATCAGTGTTTGTACAAATTCTTTTAATGAAATATACAATGACATTTGCACAGCTTACATATACTTAAGGATTATATATATAGTGACTTACATTCTCTCCATCGTTGTTCTTTTTAATCCACTTTTTTGTCACAGAATGTAAATGGCTGTCTGAGGATCTAATATTAACATTTTTAATAAGCTGTGTAAATTTTTCTGTGGATAACTTTAAAAGAGCATCTGTAGGAAGTTCCATAAATCTGTCTAAGCAAACAGCAAATGCAACATCTTTCAATTTCGTATAACTTATTTCCTGAGCCATTAACCAAACATCGATTACTATTTCTGGCTCGAACCAATGATGCACTAATACATCCATTACATCTCCAATTAAACTATCTACTATAAAAGTACAACCAATTTCTAACAGAGTCAAAAGAGGTAAATATGAACCATTAACATATTTTGATAAACTTGTCTTAATGATGTGACCATCGTTAAATTGTATTGTTACGTCGCTATTTGTCCAATCAATAAAATCCTGAAAGATAAACAAGAAATAATGAAATACAAATTACATTTACATTTTGACTAAATTTAAAATCCTAAAAAGATGTCTGCCAACCTGTAATGTTTCCAACTGAATATCGTAATTAATGTCTATTTCTTTTCGAGTAAAATCACAGAATTTGTCAGAGAATAAACATTCAAAATATCTGCTCTTATGAGAGAGTCTTTCTTTGGATGCCAGAATGCGATTACCAGAAAGGATTAATGTAATGGTATCATCATCAGGCAATTTATTATCTTCCATTCTTTAAACAAAATCTTTGGGAATCATAAATCTTGTTACACTATTCTTTACAATAATTGCCATTTAATTACATCAAAGCTGCTCTGGTTAATAAAAGGTCCTCCACTGAAACATGAATTCTTTATTTACTTATATTTTGCTTTATTAACAAATCTGTTACCACTATAGTCATTTAGGCCGTGTTCGAATTCGTCAAACGCTGTCAAATGCAGAAATGTCAAATGTAAAGATGAGTTGACAGGGTTGACAGATTGCTCACAGGCAGGGTCGCGCGATCACGTCCTGTGTTGCCCCCTGGTGATTGGTGCGGGCGGCTAACGTACTTACCACCTGTTACCCTTCAGTGGCGGCGCAATGCTTAGACCATAAATATCTAGACCTCGTATAACAGTGGAAGGAGTAAACTCGAATATCATATGGACCACGTGTGCCGACGGCTCCCGGATCCAATCAGATATTAGTCCATATATTTATGTAGACCGCCTTGCAGTGGAAATGGTAAACAAATGTACCACGTGTCCCGACGACTCACCTACAGTTAAAGCCATTCTGCTTACTGAAAATCTGACAGTGGGAGATCCAATGCGAATCTAGATGTATACGGTCTAAGGTAAACAATTTTCCAACTCACCTCTGCTCACCTCTGTATGATCGTCAATGGTTGTGTGATACACATGCATGAATTTGGATATTTGTTAGGATATTCGGTAATTAAATACAAAGGCTTAATTATTTGGTTTTTGCTACCAAAAAAATCAGAAATCCTTGCAGAGGCCCAGAACGGATATATATTTATTGTTGAATAATTACTATGGTGCATTGTGTAGTACTGTTATTGAATACTAAGTAACCCAGAGATTAATTGAAAATGACAGTACGTGAAATTCTCACTCTTCAGTTTGGACATTATTCCAATTTCATTGGGACACATTGGTGGAACATACAGGTAATATTATTTTACGATAGATTACTTGTAGAATTCTGACAAATTTAATATATATACTAATAGAAGAACGATTTTAAATTTAAAAGAAAATCTATAATCAATTAACATGTGGAACAAAATATTTTATTTCAGGAATGTAATTTCTCATATGATCCAGACAATCCAACTGAAATAAATCACGATGTCTTATACAGGGAAGGAGAATCTCCTAAGGTACTATAATATTCTGTGTTTAAATGAATATTTCTTAATATTTAATCCTTTAGTTACAAAACTTCATTATAGTGATGTCTGCCTGACCAACGTTATTGAATGAAACATCAATGGAATGGCTTCCCTGTCAATAATGTTTTTTTTTTCTTTCTGTGAAATGTTATTGATATCTCCTTTTTTACCATATATTCAAATTGACAGATGAATATTGCATTCTTATATAATATTAGCACATTGTGATTAAATTATGTGTAAAGTCGGTCTACCTCCAGAGCTAGCACTCTTGTAGCTGAAGGATTAAATATTATTTTATTTTGTATACCGTAAGTTACTTATTCTTTATTTTAGTAGTAACAAAATGATAAATATAATTATAATTATATAGTATTTTTCTAGAGAGAAGTTACATATACACCAAGACTCCTAACAGTGGACCTGAATGGAACACTTGGTTATTTAAACGAAAGAGGTGACTTATATGATTCAGCACAGCAAACGGGTGAACCTTTCCCATTATGGGAATCTGAAAATATTGATGTAACGAAAGAATCTGCTCCAGTTAAACCTCCATTTATACAAAGCCTTGATCAATCTTCTAAAAACACAGAGCCATCACCTTTTAATTTAGAACAAGATGTCAATGTTTGGACGGATTTCTTAGTGCCCAGATTTCACCCCCGTACGATAAACATAATTAAAGGATATAAACATGAATGTTCCGTTCAACCGTTTGATATATTTAACTATGGACAAAATATATGGAAAACTACACAGTTTAATGAGGATTTTTCAGATAGGATAAGAGCATATGTAGAAGAGTGTGATTTAATGCAAGGATTTCATGTAAGGATTAATAATGAGATTAATTTACATATTAAGTATGAATTACTAATTTTGTATCTTATATATGTAAATTTCAGGTCATAATGGATTCTACCAATGGCTTTGGAGGCCTTGGTACATCATGCATTGAACATTTACGCGATGAATATGGCAAAAGTATTTTGGCATTTCCAGTAATCGATAGCAGAAATGCGGAGCCATCTGCATCTGATTTGGTTAAAGTTATTAACATTGCACTATCCTGGCAGCACACTGGTGAATATGCATCGTTGTTTAGTCCACTTTGTGCAGGAGATAAAGGTTGGCTACAGGCAGGCAATCCACGACATTTTAATAACTTGAATTATGATTTAAACTTAAAGTATCACAGCAGTGCATTACTAGCAACAGCTTTGGACACATTAACTTTAAGATACAGGCAGAAAGAGTACCCTCTGTCATCTCTATCGGACTTGTGTGCAGATTTAAACAAAATGGGACGAAAGGCTGCGGCGACTAGCCTGACTTTGCCATTTCCAATGACAGCAAAAAGAGATTTCATTGATGTTCTGGATGATTTTGAAGGGTCTATGTGGACAAGTATTACACCAAGCTGTGAAATCTCCACAGATAGACATATGCGAAGTTTAGCTTTGAGAGGTATACCAGAAGAAAGACTTAAGAGACCATTACATGATGCAAGAAGACAAATGGCAAAACCAGCTTATAGATGTTCGACCGTTCATGAAATGATGAGTCTTTATTTAGCTTATACTTCTCACGCCTCAGCTACACATTTGACAACTATTAAAGCTGGTTTAAAAATCAAAGTACCATATCCAGCGATTTTTAATAATAATGTGCATGGAAACGGAGATATTGCTGCGTGGCCTGTTGGAGAAAGTAAGTTCATGTTTTCACTGAATTCTATCTTAACCGAATCTATATCTTGCTACAATTTCCTCTACGTTTCATAACAGCTGTCAAGTCTGTTCCCGTCATGGCTGGGTTACACAGCGGAGACTGTATTTCTGGAATGTTCGAGTCGCTTCATACTCAAGCGAGTCGAGTGAAGACGATCAAGAGGTTTCATGCTTTTCAAGATTCAGGTCTCGAAGAAGATGAATTTAAACAATGCTTACATCATCTATTAGATTCAAAGGAAGCTTACGAAGATCATTATATTTAATTTTTGTTTGAGCGCATCCATACACATATGTGGAAAATGTTGGAACAAACTATGGACACATATGCATTATTGTCGAAGGATGAACGAATAATTCATTCTTGGCAATTGCTAGCGAGGATCATATATTGTCTATACCGTTTGCTCATCTCTAGATTACTCCGCACTCGAAACATTAATGCACCTGCTCGTATTTTGAAATGAAGTCACAGTTACATTTTAAAAAATTGCATGGACATTTAACGCATGTAATTGTACTATATCATATGCCAGCCGATTTTTTACTAAACGGAGTTCCCAAGAATTAAGTTTCTTTTACCATAATATTTTGAACTGATCACATCCTTAACCGACTATAATAATTATCTTTTCTTCATAATTTTTTACTGAACATACAGTTCTATTAGTGAATGGTTGACGTTACATGAAATTGATAGATTTACAAAAATACAATTTCGCTATTTAATTATAAGTTCATACGAAATGAGAGAGAATGTGCAACAGATTAAGAATGTCTGATACAATTTAAAAAGTGAAGAATACGCAATTTTAATTTAATATCAATGAATGAAAGTGTAAAAATTTATGAGCCTTGTATCTTTGGTCATATCTGGAGACATTTCGACGAACTGCTACTTAACGTCACGAGGGGTGAAATGAAACATCCTCAAACTGGGAGTGCCGCGACACACCCAGTACGTTGCGTACTATTTAGTATTGAACATCAGGGGTGCAAATTCAGTCGACTTTTTTCCATGAAAGTGGCCTGAACGAAACCTGAAAAGTTGCTGTATCAAAGATTTAAGACCAAATCGCATTAACTACATAAGCCAAGAATATTTGATACCGGGCATAATATTTATAACAGCGTAATCTGAATTAATTGCGTGACCAGCATTTAACTGAAAAAACAGCATACACAGTGATAAACGATTGCACTCAAGAAACAAACACCCTCCTTCGTTACATGGGTCACTGGATAAAACAAAACAATGGGAAACAAAGTCGCTACATTTACCGAGGAACAACTGGAGGACTACCAAGACTGTACATTCTTTACTCGCAAGGAAATTTTGAGGTACTCTCCTTTACATTTTAGGAATAACTGCCTACCGAAGCTTCACGCGACCCGCTATGAGGTACCTGAAGCTTCGTTCATTCTAAGAGATGAAATACCTTTGGCAACCTTTCGACCTCTTATTATCTTCCACAAACATATCATAATGTTAAGACAAGCTTTCCGTGCCTTAGGATTCACAAGCGTTTCCGAGAGATGGGTGATCCTGGAGTGGTCCCACGCACAATGACTCCACAGGAGGCTGCCAATCTATGCTTACCGCTGTCCAATCTCGAGAAGATACCAGAACTGAAGGTTTGCGCTTTCCTCCTTGACGAGAGTAATCTATATTTAAGTTCTGCTGACCGTTACTTAAGGTAAAAGTAAAGCCAATCCTCGTCACAGGAGAATCCCTTCAGGGAGCGAATCTCCGAGGTGTTCACGAAGTACCGGGACCCGGGTTTCTCGACCGAGGAGGGCATTTGCTTCGAGGAGTTCCTGGAGATGATGTCTGTCTTCTCGGAGCAAGCACCGCGTGACTTGAAGGTCTTCTACGCTTTCAAGATTTACGGTACGTTTCTGGGCTCCGGTGATTGGCACATCTAGGGGTCAAAGGATATATAATTGAATTAACGGATAAGACGATCTAGATCATCCACGGTCCTTTTGTAACGCTCAATACGTACGCATTAAGGTGGAGTGAAACACATGACTCGTGATCATCTAAGAATTTTCCTGTCACATTCAACATTTGAATTTTGAAATAAATTTTTTAACTTGCCCCAGACCAGAACCAAAATGGCGTCGAGCTCTTATATTTCGATCAATATACAATTATTGAAGGCTCTGATATAAGAAACGAAAAATGTCAGGACAATTTTACGACAATTTAGAACACTTTGGTAATCAATAAACTCACATTTGAACGGGATACAGACAATAAAAGTGTCTTATACGTTTCTATGCTAAAACGATGGTAATACGAGATCTCGGAGTGAACATTTAGTTAACATAGAAATCACAGATGGCGCAGAGAGTCACTCTGCAGTCAATTAGGGCCTCACAAAGCATGAATTCAGAGGATTTCTGGAGTTTCACTTCGATTTATTTATAATCATTGTACGAAAGCGATAGGTGGAGTATGCCTTTTAGTACAATACCCAATATAATTCGACACAGCTGTCAATATAAAAACAAACGTCGGCATGTAGTTATTTAAAAAAATCTTTACCGACGTCGATCAAGTTCCTCGACGTGTTTCACTTCACCTTAATCCAAGACCGTTCCTGGGTTATTGGCCACCCAGTGCGCAAAAACTATATCGCTTTCCATGTTAATTTAATTCAATATCTTTTAAAGAATATATTTGTATAGATTTCGATGAGGACGGAGTACTGGGAATGGCCGATCTGGAGCGCACCTGTCGTCAACTCGTGCGAGGTGGTTTGACCGCTGAAGAAGTTTCCACAATTTGCCAGAAAGTTCTGGAGGAGAGCGACATCGATGGAGACGGTGCTCTGTCGTACCTGGAGTTTGAACACGTCATCACCAGAGCGCCGGATTTTTTGGCCACGTTCCACATACGCATTTAAGTAACGCACACATTTAAGACAATGCTTGTGTCGTTAACAAGGGAGGTTCTTTGAAACAATTATAAGTCCAGGTAGGAACTTAAACGTTCATCGGCACAACTGATCTTCATCTTCATTTCAACCTTTTGTGGAACCTCTAGTTTTTGTTTAACAAATTTTGTCATTAATCATCAACATTGTCATATCACGTGACAACATTCGAGTAAAAACTGCTCGTGTACCTGAGTAGATTAATTCAATCACGATGCATGGGTTATTTCACGGTTCGGTATTTTTCTAACTTCGGATTCCATTATAAAATACTGAATAATTTTACATCCACGCATTACGAAATTATGAGTGAACATACCCAAAAATACATACATACGTACGGATCGAACAAAGAACCTCCTATATTTTTTTTTGTTTAATAACTGCATTTTTCCCTGATTTGCATAATTCACTTTGATACACTTATTTATAATCTTATTCGTATGAGTGTGCTTATAAAGTCCATCGTATAATCAGTGCCAAAATAACGTACATGTTTTTTAGCATTGCTTCATATTTAATCTGAGAAATCTTCTTCGTTAAGGAGCTATACTACTGTGAACGTTGACAAAATTACATGTTTTTGACAATTTTTTTCTCAAAAGGTACTGCATATGACACAAACGTTTTCTTCCATGAAAGGTCTAATATAGGAGAATACAGGAATATTTTTCTTTCTGGTAAAAAATACATATTTATTTATTATTACAAAGGTAGAGTAGTAAAAAAAAATTGCACCTGGCGTAGTTGATTTTTCAAAAACGGCTAAACCGATCGGGTTCAAATTTTAGCATTATATTCAGCATACACATGGCTATCGCCGGTACCTCAATCATGGTAAAATTTTAATTTTACCTCATACTTTTGCCTCAAAAATGTGTAATTTTTTCGACGTCCGTAGTGGTATAGCCCCTGAAAAGAAGTCTTTGTGCATAAATTCTAACCGCTATGTTTGCCACGCAAACATGTTCTTTTTTTTTTAATTTCGTACTAATATATTCTTGAAATAAACCAACAACTGGGCCAAGAGGATCTCGATTGGGGTATCGTCGTTGGGTCAGGATGAAATCCAATCTTGGATGATTCTCGACCGATCGGCATGAAGCTGGGAAACCAAGAGGAGAATCGCGTTCCTTGTGCGAACGCCTCCTTAGGCCGACGAGTCGTCGAGTCGGTTTCGGTAGTTTTCCTCTTTCTTTTTCGTTACGTGCACCCGTACGCTGTACAAGCTTGCGTATCGAGTGTCGGCGAAAACCAGCGAGGCCTTTCCTCTCGCGCACCTTTACTTTGGCGTGCCCCTGCTTTTAATACGAGTTCCCTCCGCTCGAGCGCGCTGAAAGAATATCTTACGAAAAGGTACCGATGAGTAAACGCAAATCAGAGAATTAAACCTGTCGTTCGTAATAATAATTACTGCTTCAACTTGATTTTAGCCATTGTCTCGCTGTGGGTTTCTTCCGATTTCTGTTAAGGTGGTGTGAAAGTTACGTGAAGATGTCTCGTTTATGAAACTTTTCTCCGAACTGAATGTACCGAATCATTTCAAACTTGTCAGTGTGTACATGGAAGCTATAAAGAAGGTCCTGACACTCCTAAAATTTCGATTTTTTTTAAATTTGTTTATAGATGTTTTCAAAATTCTTTATAAAAAATGAAATTTCATGACTTTCAGGACCTTCCTTAAGGCCTCCACATCCACATTGTAAAGTTTGTAACGATTCGCTACACTCAGTTTGAAGAAAAGTTTCATGAATCTCTCAGATGCCACTTTCGCATCCCCTTAAGATATAGGAGAAATTGTAGCGCCTTACCGCTTCTGATCCATGTAAAAAATCTGGCCCTAAAATGCCATACAAAATGCAGTGTTAAATTCTGCGACAACCGATTTTCCCGTATAATCATAGTAATTGGGTAAACATAAATAAAATACATACAGTCCAGAAAGAGAAAAATTGATTTTAAATTTGAAGCACCGAAATCCACGTCGATGCGTTACTATGGACCTTAAGGGAGTCCTTGAAAGAGAATCCCAAGAACTCTGATCTTTCCTTGTCCATACATATCAATACATGTATTTGGCTTGAAACTCTACCTAGTTTTTCTTTATTAAAAAGGACATGCATTAGCGGTAACTTCATGTATCATGTATAACGCTGTTTTCGTATAAAAGTTGCAACTTCGTGCGTATTACTTATTCCCTGCTAGTTCCTAAACCGTTCCCCTTTCTCGTAATAGAAAAGAACCTCGAGCAGTTCCAATTTTTTCATTTACTCTACCATTTACTTTGACATTTCTTAATTTAATGGCAAGCAAAATTCAATTTTAAATTAAAAAATGAGTACAAGGCTGTAATCATTGTCAGCCATTTCGATACTTTCATAGTATTTAAAAATGAATTTCTTATAAAAAGTAAACCTTATAAAAGTGAGCGAGTAACGTTTAACGCAGCTGGGAACGAGTGGTTATTTATGATCGTTGATTGTTTGCAGTATCTATAAAAAGAGTATAAAGAAATCTAAAAAAAAATGGAAAATAATTTTCATATGTATTAGATCCAGCAACAAAGTATGCGTCATGAGATATTGCTCCCGTGTGCCTTTTACTTTAAGATTTGACTTGCAAGATATACTTTTCCTCCATTGTACTCTCCTTGGCCCATACATAGACATCGAAATCCTTCATTATCGTTCTTCCCCGTGGCCTCGGCGAGTCGTGTCTCCGCGCCTCCCTGTCAGCTGCGAAACGCTCAAAATTAATCGAATACTCACGGACGAATACGGTGAGGCTGGACGATCGAGCCAAGGAGAATCGCTGAAATCCTACCAAATAAGGAATGCTCGTTCGTCTCGCTCGAGAGCGCTGCGCGGCGCTTTCGTCCGGTAATCGGATCAAAGGATCGTTCGATCTATTTGACGATCCCTCGAATGGTAGGACAAGCTGGTATGCGCTTACAAGCGAGCCTGAATAAGAGAAACACGATCAGAAGCACTCGACGCATATATGTACTGCAATTTTGCATACTCCGTTTGAACTTGATATTTAAAACGAATTTACCCAACAAACACCCTATGTTACAGTTACATAGCTTTAGAATAACATGATATTAGTTTATTAGGTTATTATAGATATTAGGATATTAATACGTAATAACGTGATATATAACGAATGTTATTCAAAAGATACATTAATATCCTGTAACGTCGAGTTTTTACCGTTCGATAATATTGTTACAATCTTGTAAGCATTGAAATTATATAATATTAACATAACATATAACATCTTACCGGCATGTTATGTATACGTTACATTATTCATTTTATAACAGTGTTATGTAGCTGCGGAGGAAATAGTAATACAAATCTTACTTATATGTTATATGTGTTACATTACATGTTACAAACATTATGTAACGGTTATATTATTGTTTAACCGTGTTTGGTGGGTAATAATACAGAGAAAAACCCAAATAATCAGAATATGCACGGAAAACGATCAAAATGATGTGCTACATCTTCCATTTGGGCTAATTTTAATGAAAATAAAGTAGAGTGAAACAGAGGCAATGAAATTCGAGTTTGAAAATTCCACTTTTGAGAAAAGGCAGAATATATAATGACTTAAGAAGTGAAAATGGCATCTGAGGGGTCAATCGTTCATGAAACTTTTCTCCGAATTGGGTGTATCGAATCGTTTCAAACTTTACAACGTAAATATGGTGCCTATAAGGAAAGTCTTGATACCCATGAAATTTAATTTTTTATCAACAATTTTTTTTAATATCCACAAACAAATTTTAAAAATATTGAGATTTCATGGGGGTCAGGGCCTTCCTTATAGCTCTCATATTTTCATAGTAAATTTTGAAATTATTCGATACATCCAGTCCAGAGAATAGTTCCATAGATGAGAACTCTGACGCCATTTTTTCATCAACGGGAACGATGCATATGTAAAGTGTCAGGGACGTACCTTCTGTAATGCAGTCGTGGCTGTACCTTGTTATTTAATGCGAATTAGGTAATACGAAACCAGGAAGGGGTAATAATATCCCAGGCACGAAATCTCAAACTTTTTTTTTATAGCGAATGAATGGATTAAGCTACGGTGTGAACACGGCCGAAAGCGTATAATGTGCATATCAGATTTAATTCTGTTACTTCACTTGAATAATACCAAATTTATACTATGTAATTAGATGTAATGTAATAATATTGTATTAATTTTTGGACACGGAGGTATGTATTACAGTTTCTTACTTCATAGTCGTCGTAATGTAATACTAACAGCTACTGTTTTTGTATTATTCATATACTGCTTAAGCCTAGAAGTGCCTCATTGAATATGCTCGTACTACTCTCTCTTGTCAAGAATACGAGTGGTTAGAAGGCCTTTGAATTACGAAAAGGCTCGTCGTCCAATGTTAGCTCGAATCAACTTACTCATCAAAAGTCAGGTGAATCACGTACAACCTTTCCTTCAGTGATTCATGTAAATTTTCCGTGCAGTAAATAATCCGAAAGACAAACTATAAATTTCAGACCGTGAGAGTAACGTTACTGTTACCGAGAAATGTCGATTTTGAGAAAAGTGAAACAATAATTTTAAGCTATTTGCTTGTAAGAATTTTAAACCTATCAATGATTTTTATAACAATATGTCCGGCGACATAGAATAGAATGTAGATAATATAGAATAGAAAATGTCTAATTAATGAATTAAGAGCTATTTCACTGCTGTTTGCAAAACAATAGTCCGATGATGACTATGTTTAATGAATTACCGTAATGTGCGAGTGCGACCATACGATGTAGCTACTTCAAGCGCAGTGCAAACAAAATCGCTGCCTTATGTCACTTGAAGTCAAGATTAAACACTCGAGACTGACATTGGAAGAAAGGTTTATTCTCTGAACGAGACAAATCCACTCTGCGACAATTATCCCTTTCGGCAACAATTTATGATCTTATGGGAACTTTGCAATATAGTGGTTATGTTCAATTTTTGAAACAAAATGACAAATCACCGAAACTTGTAAAAATTGTGTTAATTACGCGCTTGCAATTTGAATCACGCTGAATGTAGATTCCCTCAAGGAGTTACATGCAGTGGTCATAGGCGAAATTCGAGAATTTTTTTCATAACTAAAATGCATGTTTTAATCGAAAACAGAGCGTCATTTCATAGTACAATTATTGAACTTAATATATCATTTTTTTATCAACATGTATTTAAAAATTGACGAGGTACAGCAATTCTCTGAAAAGATTTTTTTTGGGGTGACCACATCTCGAAAAATATTTCACCGATCGGCTTCAGATTTTTAAGGCTCATTCTACACATGGAGGACTGTTGAAGGAACAAAGGATTTTTTTCTATGAAAACTTGTTGTTTTATTAAGGAAAAACGAAAATGTTATAAGACGAAAAAAGTGATTTTTCAATAAAACCACTGCCATTTTGGTAAAAATCGGAATTTCGAAAAATCCTTCGTTCATTCAGCAGTCCTCCATATGTAGAATGAGTCCCAAAAATTTGAAGCCGATCCGTGAAATAATTTTTGAGGTATCGTGGTCACCGCGAAAAAAAAAACTTTCGGAGAATTGCTGTACGTCGCCAATTTTTTAATATACCTTGATAAAAAAAATGATATATTAAGTTCAATAATTGTACTATGAAATCATGCTCTGTTTTCGATCAAAAAAAGGATTTTAGTTGCGTTAAAAAATTCTTGAATTTCGCCTATGAGAACTGCATATAACCCCTCGAAAATCGTTCCTCAATTAAGGATGTATTCAAGTTTCAGAGGCGGCTCTTCAGGAAGCGGTCGCTTCTGTTTCTTCGGCTCTGTCCGTAGAATACCGATTGTCCGATCTCGTAACAACGAGTGCTCCTGCAAGCTGGCTCGTTGTAGCTAGCTAGCCGTATAACGCCGATTCAACGGCTGAATCGGCAATTCATCGTTAAGAGAACGGCTCGAATTCCAGCGAGCCGTCGTCGAGCCGAGACCGGCTCTTTCGTTCATTGTGTGGTTCCTCGACCGTATACGTAAAGCTCTTAAATTGTAAGTTGTTAGAAAATAAAATAAGCTTCTAAGTTGATATAAAGTATTCTTCCGATGGCTTGTCTCCTCTTCATGAAATTGTCCACCAACGAAATCATTCTCACACTTTTAGATGCTGCTACATAACCTACACCTGGGCATGCAGCTTTCTAATCTACGTTTAATTAAACATATAAGTGCGTTCAATTTACGTAATTTCATTGATATTTAATATTTCATACAATTCATCTCAGAAGGCCTGTACGCTTTACCTTACCAAAATCACCAGATCACTAGGGTCTTGATTGCAGACAGCCAAAAGAAGTTTAAGAGTGTATTTTAATTAGTAACGCACATGCACTGAATGAGTACCTGCAATGAAAAAAGAGTCGTTAAACGTAATAAATAAAACATTCGGCGGCACATTTAACGGACTCGAGTAATTCCCATTTAAGAGAATTAATTCAATAACTTTGTTCCTTAATGCAGGTACAC